AATACAAAAAATGTCATTTTCTTGTATAATTTTTGTACTTTATACTGTTGTTAAAAAAAAATCAGTGACTCTTAATAACTTTTGACATGGATAGGCCCACGAGGCATACGACCCACAGCAAACCACCCCGAACCCATCGCTTAGGACCAATAGCATAACCCGGTTGGCAAAGCCCAGGACAGCTGGAGGTCATCTAGACATGGGGGGCCAATGAGCACATGGGGGGCCAATGAGCACATGGCAGGTGGAACACGGGCCACATCAGCAGACAAAGATCTGCAGAGTTATTATCACAACACATCACCATTAATGCATCCCATCACAGCATTACGACAATACCTCCCCGTCGGAACAGAGCCCCCTCACCCTGAACAAGGTAAGCTACGGCACAGGCTTTCGGCGGAAGGGGGCACGTTACAAGGGACAGTGAAATGATTACCAAATGATATAAGCAAGAATAGAAAGACAAGAGGAAGGTTAAGCTCTTGATCTCTCCATCTCTCTCTCTATATTTCCTTCTTCCTCTACTAATTCTTACGCCGGAGGGTTCACTGGGGGACTGCCCCGTTCCCCTTTGGACTTGCATGCAGGTCATTTGACGGAATCATCACCCTAAACCGGAACTTGAAGAGCCTGGACCAGCCCGACCCATCCACCCAGGACGGACAGCATCATCAGTTGGCGCCGTCTGTGGGAACCTTGTGGTTTATTCGTGCGCTAGTTGTGTTCGCTATCGCCGGAGCCCTCCTTTCTCACTATTACATTTTTTCCTTTCACCCGTCCAGGTGTATGGTCACGACTAGATCCATGGCCTCCCACCATAATACCACCGATCATCAAACAGACCCTTCCCATCTAAACAGCCCACCACAGTACATCATCGAACTTACTAACAGTATTAACCGCATGGCCGAGCAAAACCAGGCCCTGATCAATGCTTTGCTCCAAAGAAACCTCCCTGCTCCACCTCCAGACATTCCACCCAACCAAGAAAGAACCCCGGACCACACTGCTCCACAACCCCCTCCCTCCAACCCAGAAGGTTTACAACCCCCTCCTCCTCCACATATGAGCCTACCACCTCCGCCTCCACGCCCGCCAGTCGTGCCACTAGCCCCTGAGGGGGAAGCCAGCAGTGTCCAGCCCCCATTGACCGACCATGGCGACAACATTCCCCTTTGGGACGCAGAACTCCTAGCCATGAAAATCTAACTACAAGGGGTCATGCAGAAACATCCAGCACAAGCCCTCAGCCACCGCCAACTCGCCTTTTGTTGCCTCCATCCGCAACAAACCGTTGCCCGCCAAGTTCAAAATGCCTACCATTGACTCATTTGATGGCACGACGGACCCAGTCGACCATCTGGAAACCTACCGCACCCTCATGATCCTCCATGTTTTCCCTGACGAGATCATGTGCCGAGCTTTTCCAGTGACACTAAAGGGATCAGCTCGATTGTGGTTTAGCCAGTTACCGGCGGACTCCGTCTCCACCTTCCAACACCTCAGTGACTCTTTCCTGAGCCATTTCATCGGGGCTCAGCGTTAAAGACGCCCAGCCACCCAACTCCTAAACATTCGTCAGACTGATGGGGAGTCGCTCTGCAGCTTCGTCACCCGTTTCAACACCGAGGCCCTTCAAGTAGTAGAGAATGACGATAAGGTCATCCTCACCGCTTTCATGGTCGGCCTGCGGTCGTCGGATTTCCTTTTCTCCCTCTCCAAAAACCCTCCAACCACCATGGCAGCCCTACTATCCAAAGCCCAGAAATACATGAATGCTGAAGATTCCCTGGCCGCTCGGCAAGAGCCCACCCCTAAAAATCCGATCCTTAGAGACAAGAGGAAAGACTCCGAACCCAGAGCCGTCCAGTATAATAGCCAAACACCCCACTATAATGACCGACCCCCCCGTGCCGACCGGTCGACTCCGACCCGATCGCCCGGTCGGTTTGAGCGATACATACCTCTCAACTCCCCCATGGAGCACGTCCTCAATCAGATCCAGCGGGACTACCTCCTCAAGTGGCCCCTACCTTCACGAAACCCTTCCACTTGAAAAGATCAGTCCAAATACTGCCGTTTCCACCAAGACCATGGTCATACCACCGACGAGTGTATTAACCTCAAAGATCAGATCGAGACCGTCATATGCCAGGGCCGCCTCAGCCGATTCATAGACACCCGCCCTCCACAGAGGCAAAGAACCGACCTCACCAGGAACAATCGCCGACAAACACCACCCCGCAATCAAGCCCCACCTAACTAAGGCCACGATCGCCCACCACCACAGCCTCGGCCTCCTGGTAATCCCCCTCCACCAGTCGGAGAAATCCGAGTTATTTCAAGCGGCCTTGCACCACAGCCTCGGCCTCCTGGTAATCCCCCTCCACCAGTCGGAGAAATCCGAGTTATTTCAGGCTGCCTCGCTTGCGGGGGACCGTCCCGCTCGGCTCAGAAGGCAGAACTCAGAAAAATCAGGCAGGGCTCAGACAAAGCAGTGGTGACGGTAGACCGACCTCCCAAACAGTCAAAACAATGGATCGAACCCATCACCTTTACCGACACCGACTGTGCCGGCGTCCGTTACCCACATGATGACCCCCTTGTCATTTCCGCCATCTTCTCCAACTACAAAGTCAGACGAGTCCTCATAGACAACGGCAGCTCTTCAGACATTATCTTCCTCAATTGCTTCCGCTAGCTCAAGATTGGGGAAAAAAGCTTGTCTCCTCTCCAAACCCCTCTGGTCGGCTTCACCAGCGACCGTGTGACCTCCATCGGCTCCATCGATCTACCTATCACCATTGGCGAGCACCCGCGACAGACCACTAAGTTGCTCACCTTTCTTGTGGCCCCTCTGCTTACAACATCACCCAAAATCGCCTTTTCAAAACCCCCCTCGTGACCTATCGTTTCATTTCTACTCCAACGCTTCACTTTCCCCACGATATTACCACGTGCATGGCCACGATGCACTGTCCCCTCCTCTTCCCCTGTCCTTTCCATTTCAAATCATCACATGGCCCCACCCTACTCCCTCTCTTTTTGAGCCCCGCGCCGTTCTGGTCGGCACGCCTCTCGGTCGACCCCTCCCGCTCGACCACCCTCGCGGTCGGCACGCCTCTCGGTCGACCCCTCCCGCTCGGCCACCCTCCGGTCGGCACGCCTCACGGTCGACCCCTCTCACTCGGCCACCCTCACGGTCAGCTTCTCCCGCTCAGTCACCCTTGCGATCGGCACGGCTTCCAGTAGACCTCTCCACTCGGTTCGAACTTCCCTTCCTTATTACTATTCCCTTCGTTGGACTAAAGCTGCACTCGGAAACAGGGGACTACTGACATGGATAGGCCCACGAGGCATACGGCCCACAGCAAACCACCCCGAACCCATCGCTTAGGACCAATAGCATAACTCGGTTGGCAAAGCCCAGGACAGCTGGAGGCCATCTAGACATGGGGGGCCAATGGCATTCGGGCACATGGCAGGTGGAACACGGGCCACATCAGCAGACAAAGATCTGCAGAGTTATTACCACAACACATCACCATTAATGCATCCCATCACAGCATTTATTACGACAACACCTCCCCGTCGGAACAGAGCCCCCTCGCCCTGAACAAGGTAAGCTACGGCACAGGCTTTCGGTGGAAGGAGGCACGTCACGAGAGACAATGAAATGATTACCAAATGATATAAGCAAGAATATCACTGGGGGACTGCCCCGTTCCCCTTTGGACTTGCATGCAGGTCATTTGACGAAATCATCACCCTAAACCGGAACTTGAAGAGCCTGGACCAGCCCGACCCATCCACCCGGGACGGACAGCATCATCAACTTTTCTCAAAGTCCACGGTTGAGTAATTCTCCCTTATTTTATTGGGTTGTAGTCAGCATTGTTGCCAGCGAGTACAAACATGTGGGAGGCGCCTAATTGTCTATCAGGATCCTCTAGAGTGGGATTCTCTGAAGTGAGTGATCCAAAAGTTCAAAATAAAACTAACTAAAACGACGTCGTTTTGGTTAGTAATTTCAAAAAAAAAAAAAAAAAAAACAACAACAACAACAAATAGAAATCAACTTTCTAGGTTCGCTTTCACTAGTTCGTGAGAGAGTTGGAGAGAGAGAGAAGGGACAGAGCTTTGATTTTGAGTTGAGACTCTACTTCATTTTAGAAATCTTTTGATTCAAGTGGATAGTGAGTGGTTCTTGTTCTTGATCTATACACTAGTGCTTCACAAATCAGCCCTCGATGATGATGATGATGAACATCCCTTGTTAAAGTCAGCCATGGAAGACCTTCTATCGCCGATTTCCTCCGCCGATCTCCATGTCCGTTGATCGGATCTGCTGATTTTGTTGCTCACCTTGATTTTGATGATGATGATACAGATCTGAATCAATCTTTGGTGCTCGGACTATGGGGTCTATAAATATACATATATGCATATAGAAATACATATTTGAATCAATCTTTTGATGATGATGATGATAAGGATCTGAATCAATTTTATTATCGAATCGATTTAATCTTCTTTGTAAGGTCTGTAAATATATATATATATATATATGCATATAGAAAAACATATCTAGATCAATCTTTTGATGATGATGATGATAATGATACAAATCTGAATCAATTTTATTATCAACAAATTGATTTAATCTTTTGAAGCCTCTTTCTCATTTTTTTCACTGGTTTTCTTCAATCTTTTGATGATGATGATGATACATATCTGAATCAATTTTATTGTTGAATCGATTTAATCTTATTTTTTATATATTTAGATTTCACAAATCAAAATTCATGATAATGATACAGTTTGAAACCTCTTTCTCATTCTGTTCACATTTCTTCTTCAATCTTTTTGATGATGATACAGATTTGAAACAATCTTATTATCGAATCGATTTAATCTTCTTTTTTATTTATTTAAATCTTACAGATCAAAATTCATGATGATGATACAATTTGAAGCTTTTTTCTCATTCTATTCATATTTTTTCTTTTTTCTTCATTATTATTTTTTTTTTTATAGTTTTTCCTCACCAAAACGAATTAATTACAACCTTTCATTCTATTAATGGGACACATGTCCGATCCATCTCATTCATTCTAGGGGATCTCTCTAACCCTAACGCCGCCCTAATTGTTATCGTTTTGTATCCTCCCAACAACGGCTATATTCACCACCGCCCCCGCCCAACGGTACATTTCTCTCACAAAATTGATTCAAGTGTTCCCGTTACATCTTTCTATCCTCCTCTCTCCTCATTACGATTAAGCTCTCACATCCGCTTGAAAAGTTCTGGTTAGGGTTTCTCTCTCTCTAGAATGAACAGTGGGAGCGAAGGCTTCATCAGAAAGAAAGAGCTTTCGCAGTTGGCAAAACCACGCCGCTACCACCGGGAAAAAATCACCGGAGAAAATGACGATGATGATGAGCAGTACTGTGAGAGCCCCTCCACCTCCTCCTTAAGCCGCCGGGCCAGTTTGGTTGAGAGGAAATCGCTTCATCCTGCTGTGGCGGCATCCACCCCACCCGGATGTCGTCTGCGCTGATTCAGCGGCTGGGGATTGGGATTGGAAGGTCACGGCTCAGGTCGAGGGATTTCAAGAACATGTCCATTTTCGCCACAATTGACAAGGTTAGTAATTTTACATACATAATATGTGCTATATATTTACATATATACATATTAATTGTGCCAAATTTAGTTGTTTGAATTCTCTTTGTGTTGTATATTCATTTTTGTGTTCAATTTGGCTTCTAAATTAGACTATTCCAAGGATGAGAATGTTCGAGATGGGTTAGTCAGTCGAATGTGAATTCTTAAGTTTTTGCCCTGGAAATTGAATACACGTCCTGAGAGTGCCCTAATTTTCCCTTCCTCCCTTTTTATGCTCAATGATTTTCCTATCTCCTCTAACTTTGCCGAGTCAGAGAATTGGGCATCATTTTTTTCGAACTCTTCGGTCGCACTGTCCTGCCCCTGTTCTTGCTCTGTTTTGTCTCTGATGCACTCTTCATCTGCACCTGAAAAAGTTCAACAGAAGAAGATATATATTCCAAGGATGCATAAAAAAAATCATCTACTTTGAATACTACCAAATTTTTTATTCTTCTGATAAAAATAATATTAACTTCCATCTAAAGAAGATTGATTCTGATGCCATTGTTATTGTTGTTTTGCAAGGTATTAGTATAACTTACTTTCATTAGGCAATTACATCAAATTTGAAACTTATCGCATAAATAGATGCATGTATGTATGTGTGACAACATAATGTGATTGATCAAAATAATAATAAAAAATAAAAAATAAAAAAAACCCCACAAATTAATTAATTTGAAGTTCATTTTATTTTAATATTTGAAACACGGGAAATGGGCTATACTGCAGGAAATGGGCTATACGCGGGAAATGGACTATTTAATCTTGGATTAGAAAACTTAGGCTGTCATTGATTTACTAGTACTGGAGGGCCAGCATCAATCATTATATTCTCCTATGTGTTGGAGGGCTAACAAGAATTTGAATCAAATGGAAATTGATTGGATGGGATTTTGGTGTGCTGAGAAGTTGATGTACAAATGCCTAGGACTAGCTCTAACATCAAAATCACAATTGAAGAAATAATACTTATTGGGAGCAAATATTAATCATTTTATTCCTCATTTGCGTCTGCTTAGCAAAATCATAGAAGAAATAATAATACATATTGGGAGCAACTAGAATGGAAAGAACCCTCCTTGTGTGACTGCTTAGCAAATTGGGAGCAACTGTGAGTATCTTCCTTCTTATTGGTAATGCTTTTCTTGATATTGTTATGAACTGAAAAGTTTATTTAACCTCTAAAATGATGACATCTGTTTGGGTAGTTTGTCATAAGAGACAACAAATCAAGTTTGGGGAACCTGGAGCGGATGCTTGCCGGAATTGATTGGAACTTTAATAGCTATGGAGGTTAGGCTGTAGAATATGTATTTATAATTTCTACTATGTTAAATTATTTAATATTCCCTTAGAACTTTCTGAAAGTGCCACAGTTGGGTCTTTGGCAAGAACTAATGAATCGTATAACTTGTAACTACTCTTTTTTAGCAATCCATTTATTCAGCAATTTATCGAGTGTATGCAAACATGATTTAACCATTGCTTCCTTGCTGGAATATTGATAACTGATGCATATTTGTAAATAATGATGCTTTTGAACAATAATCAATTGTAAGATTCCAAAGCTTTTTCTTGTCCATTAGTTGGGTTACCCTTGCGCTGGAACCACAAAATACTGCTAATCATTGTCCTGATTAAGTGTTGCTTGATACTTGATATCATCGCCTATACTTTGGTGCAATTACTAACAAATAGCATCAGTTTCCATCTATTATTGCTGTATAGTTTTTTGCTTTGAGAAAAGTAAAATTCTATTCTATTGATCTATCTAAATAAAAGTAATTGCACTTTGATTGGTTTGAAATTTCTAGGCATCAATTATTCATGCGGCAAGGAAGGTTAGAAAGTTGTTTGTTTCAATTTTTTACATGTTTTTTTTGTGTGCGCGCGCGCGCGTGTGCATGTGTGTGTGTGTGGAGAGTACACTCCTTTTTATATTCTCTCAAACTTTTTTCTTTAACTGTTAGATTTTGGAAGTCGAGAGAGTTCCTAGGTTTCCTCACTCTATGATTCTTGAAGGTGGAGCCATTCACGTAGATGGAGAAGGTATCAGTCCCGTGCTTGTTCCGGAAGTTTCCACAACTTAGATTGGTCCCTCCCAAGGTGTTTGAGGTATTCCACGGTCCTTCTCGTGACTGTTACACAGTTTTGGCCACCGATGGCCTATTTTCGAGCTTAATTGTGAAAAAATGTCTTTTTCGACTAGATATATCAAAGCGGTAGTCCCGTTCTAGTTCCGTAAGTTTTCACAACTTACATTGGTCCCTCCCGAGGTGTCTGAGCTGTTTCCCCGGGCCTTCTCGTGGATGTTACACGATTTTGGCCCCCGTGGCCTATATTCAAGCTAAGTGTGAAAAAAGTGCATTTTGGACTTAGTTTTCAAACTAGGAGTCCCGTGCTAGTTCCGTAAGTTTAGACAACTTACATTGGACCCTCCCGAGGTGGTTGATGTGTGTTGCCCAGGCCTTCTCGAGACAGTTACCCGATTTTGACCCCCAATTTTGGCCTATTTTCATTCTTAAGTGTGAGAAAAGTGTCTTTTGACTTAGTTTTCAAACTAGGAATCCCTTGATAATTCTGTAAGTTTTCGCAACTTAATTGGTCCCTTCTATGTGTTTGAGGGGTCCCCCGGCCACTCTGTGACTGTTACACGACATTGGCACCCCGATGGCTAATTTTCATGCTAAGTGTAAAAAAAGTGCAATTTTTGACTTAGTTTTCGAACCAGGAGTCCCGTGCTACTTCCGTAAGTTTCCACAACTTACATTGGTCCCTCCCGAGGTGTTTTGAGGCGTCCCCAGGCCTTCTCGTGACTGTTACACGATTTTGGTCCGTGAAGGCCTATTTTCAAGCTTAAGTGTGAAAAAGTGCATTTTTTCAGTTAGTTTTCAAACCGTGAGTCCCGTGCCAGTTCTGAAAGTTTGCACAACGTACATTGGCCACTCCTGCGGTGTTTCAGGCATTCCCGATCCTTCTTGTGACTGTTACACGATTTTGGCACCCGATGGACTATTTTTAAGCTTAAGTGTGAAAAAAAGTTCTTTTCGACTTAGTTTTCAAATCGGAAGTCCTGTGCTAGTACCGTAAGTTTTCGCAACTCACGTTGGTCCGCCCTTGAGGTGTTTGTGATGCGATTTTGGTGCCCGATGGCCTCTTTTCAGGCTTAAGTTAGAAAAGTGTATTTTTTTACTTAGTTTTCAAACCGCGAGTCCCGTGCTTGTTCCGGAAGTTTCCACAACTTAGATTGGTCCCTCCCAAGGTGTTTGAGGTATTCCACGGTCCTTCTCGTGACTGTTACACAGTTTTGGCAACCGATGGCCTATTTTCGAGCTTAATTGTGAAAAAAATGTCTTTTTCGACTTAGTATTCAAAGCGGTAGTCCCGTTCTAGTTCCGTAAGTTTTCACAACTTACATTGGTCCCTCCCGAGGTGTCTGAGCTGTTCCCCGGGCCTTCTCGTGACTGTTACACGATTTTGGCCCCGTGGCCTATATTCAAGCTTAAGTGTGAAAAAAGTGCATTTTTGGACTTGTTTTCAAACTAGGAGTCCCGTGCTAGTTCCGTAAGTTTAGACAACTTACATTGACCCCCGAGGTGGTTGATGTGTGTGCCCAGGCCTTCTCGAGACATTACCCGATTTTGACCCCCAATTTTGGCCATTTTCATTCTTAAGTGTGAGAAAAGTGTCTTTTTGGACTTAGTTTTCAAACTAGGAATCCCTTGATAATTCTGTAAGTTTTCGCAACTTAAATTGGTCCTTCTAAGGTGTTTGAGGGGTTCCCCGGCCATCTCGTGACTGTTTACACGACATTGGCACCCCGATGGCTAATTTTCATGCTAAGTGTAAAAAAAGTGCAATTTTTGACTTAGTTTTCAACCAGGAGTCCCGTGCTACTTCCGTAAGTTTCCACAACTTACATTGGTCCCTCCCGAGGTGTTTCGAGGCGTTCCCCAGGCCTTCTCTGACTGTTACACGATTTTGGTCCGTGAAGGCCTATTTTCAAGCTTAAGTGTGAAAAAGTGCATTTTTCAGTTAGTTTTCAAACCGTGAGTCCGTGCCAGTTCTGAAAGTTTGCACAACGTACATTGGCCACTCCTCGGTGTTTCAGGCATTCCCGATCCTTCTGTGACTGTTACACGATTTTGGCACCCGATGGACTATTTTTAAGCTTAAGTGTGAAAAAAAGTGTCTCTTTCGACTTAGTTTTCAAATCGGAAGTCCTGTGCTAGTACCGTAAGTTTTCCAACTCACGTTGGTCCCGCCCGAGGTGTTGAGGTTTTCCTAGGGTCTTCTCGTGACTGTTACACGATTTTGGTGGCCGATGGCCTCTTTTCAGGCTTAAGTGTAGAAAAGTGTATTTTTTTACTTAGTTTTCAAACCGCGAGTCCCGTGCTTGTTTCGAAGTTTCCACAACTTAGATTGGTCCCTCCCAAGGTGTTTGAGGTATTCCACGGTCCTTCTCGTGACTGTTACACAGTTTTGGCAACCGATGGCCTATTTTCGAGCTTAATTGTGAAAAAAATGTCTTTTTCGACTTAGTATTCAAAGCGGTAGTCCCTTCTAGTTCCGTAAGTTTTCACAACTTACATTGGTCCTCCCGAGGTGTCTGAGCTGTTCCCCGGGCCTTCTCGTGACTGTTACACGATTTTGGCCCCCGTGGCCTATATTCAAGCTTAAGTGTGAAAAAAGTGCATTTTTGGACTTATTTTCAAACTAGGAGTCCGTGCTAGTTCCGTAAGTTTAGACAACTTACATTGGACCTCCCGAGGTGGTTGAGTGTGTTCACCCCCAGATCATTTTGGCCTATTTTCATTCTTAAGTGTGAGAAAAGTGTCTTTTTGGACTTAGTTTTCAAACTGGAATCCCTTGATAATTCTGTAAGTTTTCGCAACTTAAATTGGTCCCTTCTAAGGTGTTTGAGGGGTTCCCGGCCATCTCGTGACTGTTACACGACATTGGCACCCCGATGGCTAATTTTCATGCTTAAGTGTAAAAAAAGTGCAATTTTTGACTTAGTTTTCGAACCAGGAGTCCCGTGCTACTTCCGTAAGTTTCCACAACTTACATTGGTCCCTCCCGAGGTGTTTGAGGCTTCCCCAGGCCTTCTCGTGACTGTTACACGATTTTGGTCCGTGAAGGCCTATTTTCAAGCTTAAGTGTGAAAAAGTGCATTTTTTCAGTTAGTTTTCAAACCGTGAGTCCCGTGCCAGTTCTGAAAGTTTGCACAACGTACATTGGCCACTCCTGCGGTGTTTCAGGCATTCCGATCCTTCTGTGACTGTTACACGATTTTGGCACCCGATGGACTATTTTTAAGCTTAAGTGTGAAAAAAAGTGTCTCTTTCGACTTAGTTTTCAAATCGGAAGTCCTGTGCTAGTACCGTAAGTTTTCGCAACTCACGTTGGTCCCGCCGAGTGTTTGAGGTTTTCCTAGGGTCTTCTCGTGACTGTTACACGATTTTGGTGCCCGATGGCCTCTTTTCAGGTTAAGTGCTAAAAAGTGTATTTTTTTACTTAGTTTTCAAACGCGAGTCCCGTGCTTGTTCCGGAAGTTTCCACAACTTAGATTGGTCCCTCCCAAGGTGTTTGTGGTATTCCACGTCCTTCTCGTGACTGTTACACAGTTTTGGCAACCGATGGCCTATTTTCGAGCTTAATTGTGAAAAAAATGTCTTTTTCGACTTAGTATTCAAAGCGGTAGTCCCGTTCTAGTTCCGTAAGTTTTCACAACTTACATTGGTCCCTCCCGAGGTGTTTGAGCTGTTCCCCGGGCCTTCTCGTGACTGTTACACGATTTTGGCCCCGTGGCCTATATTCAAGCTTAAGTGTGAAAAAAGTGCATTTTTGACTTAGTTTTCAAACTAGGAGTCCCGTGCTAGTTCCGTAAGTTTAGACAACTTACATTGGACCCTCCCGAGGTGGTTGATGTGTGTTGCCCAGGCTTCTCGAGACAGTTACCCGATTTTGACCCCCAATTTTGCCTATTTTCATTCTTAAGTGTGAGAAAAGTGTCTTTTTGGACTTATTTTCAAACTAGGAATCCCTTGATAATTCTGTAAGTTTTCGCAACTTAAATTGGTCCCTTCTAAGGTGTTTGAGGGGTCCCCGGCCATCTCGTGACTGTTACACGACATTGGCACCCCGATGGCTAATTTTCATGCTTAAGTGTAAAAAAAGTGCAATTTTTGACTTAGTTTTCGAACCAGGAGTCCCGTGCTACTTCCGTAAGTTTCCACAACTTACATTGGTCCCTCCCGAGGTGTTTTGAGGCGTTCCCCAGGCCTTCTCTGACTGTTACACGAATTTGGTCCGTGAAAGCCTATTTTCAAGCTTAAGTGTGAAAAAGTGCATTTTTTCAGTTAGTTTTCAAACCGTGAGTCCCGTGCCAGTTCTGAAAGTTTGCACAACTGACATTGGCCACTCCTGCGGTGTTTCAGGCATTCCCGATCCTTCTTGTGACTGTTACACATTTTGGCACCCGATGGACTATTTTTAAGCTTAAGTGTGAAAAAAAGTGTCTCTTTGACTTAGTTTTCAAATCGGAAGTCCTGTGCTAGTACCGTAAGTTTTCCAATCACGTTGGTCCCGCCCGAGGTTTTGAGGTTTTCCTAGGGTCTTCTCGTGACTGTTACACGATTTTGGTGCCCGATGGCCTCTTTTCAGGCTTAAGTGTAGAAAAGTGTATTTTTTTACTTAGTTTTCAAACCGCGAGTCCCGTGCTTGTTCCGAAGTTTCCACAACTTAGATTGGTCCCTCCCAAGTGTTTGAGGTATTCCACGGTCCTTCTCGTGACTGTTACACAATTTTGGCAACCGATGCCTATTTTCGAGCTTAATTGTGAAAAAAATGTCTTTTTCGACTTGTATTCAAAGCGGTAGTCCCGTTCTAGTTCCGTAAGTTTTCACAACTTACAATGGTCCCTCCCGAGGTGTCTGACTGTCCCCGGGCCTTCTCGTGACTGTTACACGATTTTGGCCCCGGTGGCCTATATTCAAGCTTAAGTGTGAAAAAGTGCATTTTTGGACTTAGTTTTCAAACTAGGAGTC